AAAGATTACCATTTAGACAGAAATCATGTCACTTCTGACACAGGAATGTTACAGTACGGTGAAGGATCATCAGGCTTGACACCGTGCTGCTGAAGGGACTGTCTTTCAGATGAAACGTAAGATCAGAACTCAAGGAATCTCATGTTGTCAATAAATATGATCCTCGGACGATTTCTGCGTGGGAAGGAGTCTTAATTTTCATGTCTTCATTACTCCATTTTGCTGTCCTAAGCTTCACTGCAGTTTACATAGGATGTACATGTTTTTCAATCTTATCCTGACATCTAATATTGCTAAATAGTTAAATAGTTATAGATTTTCTAAAAGTGATGGGATCCACGTGCCTCATGATGATGTTACCTTTTACAAAATTCAGGAAAAAGAAAGAAAAAATGCTTTTGCAACATCAAGAAATTAATATAATTGAGTATGTGACAGGAAGCTGAGGAGTTACACTTACTGTGGTGACAGCAGCTTATCAACACCACTTTCACGTAACACTTTGATGAGTAATGATATTGTTAAAGACACCCTATTCCTACCTTCATTTTCATACTGCTGTTCTAGTACGTGTGAATAGAGGGAGGTGTTATGTACAGTGGAAGGTGAAGTTCTTCTTTCCCCTTCCTCCCCCACAAGAACACTCAACGCTTTCAAGAAATGCATGTGTTAGTTTTTGAGGACTCCTGCTTTTAAACTGAGGGTGTTGTTTGATCAGTAAGGTAGTTTGCTGTTTGACAATTTCTCACTGAAAGCCAAATTTTGAACTATTTGCTGTTGGAGAAGTTGATCCGTGGCATTGGGCTGCACTAACTGAGCAAGTTTTCCCTTTTTCTCTAGAATTGGTGTCAACTATATAAATAAAGGCAACAAGAATGCCTGCGATGTTATTTTCTTTATAAAGGCTGAAATGAAGGCCAGGATATTTTGGCACAGAGAAGGAAAGTTGGAATTGGAAGGATGTGTAGCTACTAGAAATCAAGATTTCTGATATGGAAAGTGTGGAACACCAGAATCCACGTGTTCAACATGATCATGGGTGGACTCGGGAGCCTCCTCTGTCAGGAAGTGGGGAGGAATGATGGAGCTAGAAGGCTCACTAGTGCTTCTTTCAGGGGGCAAGAGATGACAACGAAAGGAAAAACATGGCCTTTTGAACCAACACTTCAAACATCCCGCTTCAGAGGTCTTTTCTGCTACCAGATGACTTTTTTTTTAATCAAAAGTTGATAAACCTCAACACAATAGACACAAACAACGCATCCCGTACAGGTGAGTTGCTGTGTGCCTAGCACATGACGTGCCCTGGCAGTTTCTGCTCAGAGGCTGAAACGGGACGGGATTAACCAGCCTGGTGCAATCAGTGCTGGAAGATGCTGGCAGAGTGGTAAGGAAGAAGGCTGCCGGACAGCATGTGGCTTCACAGACACACGAACTAGGAAGAGAAGCTTGAGCCGTGACTCCTGAGAGTGCATTGTGGCAGCTGCGTACGAATAAGCAGCCTATACGTTTGGAAGCTTGAGAAGTAAACCAGCTGTGCATCAAAGGTAGGCATTTGGAGGTGGTAAATTTAGCCCTGACTCATCCAATGGCAATTTTGACACTTGAGTGGACTAAATTACTTTTAGGAGTTGCATCGTGTTTTTACCAGATAGTTTGATTGAGCGTAGTTTAACCCATTCATATACCTATGGCCAGATTCTAGACCTTTCTCACTTGAAATAACTATGCAAGAATTTGTTTGTATTTATTATATCGGACATAGATATGTTCTGGGTGACCAAGTTCCTTTCTGTCAGAGGCAATCCTATCAATTAGTCTATTGCTTAAACTTATCAAATAACATCTTAAAACTGGACTTTTATTTTTTTCACTACTCTTACTGTAAAAGACTTAGAAGACCCTCTACTGCTCACAGCTAAAAATCTGTTCCCCAAAACCAGTGAGAGTTTCTTCACAGCTTTGTCCTTCCAATTAAAGAGCTCTTTCCTCTCCCTGGTGTTAACTCCTCAGGTATTTACAGGGAGCACTCGTGTGCCAAGCTCCTCGGGCTCTTCCCGACGGACAGGAGCCCCACTTCCTCGGCCACCTCAGCACCCTCCTTCCCACCCCTGCAACACGAGGCCGTCGGAGCTGTGCCCACTGTTGCAGGTGGGTGCGCTTACAACAGCGTTCACACTCCTGAGCGCTACCAGAAGGAGCTGGCCCCTCATGCCAGCAACGCATTTGCGGTTTTTCCCCCAAGCACGGCAGGGTGACCGCTCTCTCTTGCCAGTGCACGGGACCGAAACGCTCAGAAGCTCCCAGGGACAGCGGCTTTCACTCCCGTCTGTGCCGCAGGCGAGACTCACCCCACCTGTGTGCTTAGCGTTCATACTCATGTACAAACAACGTCTGGAGCCAGAAAAGAATGCTGGATAAATTAAAACGTGCCTAATTTTTGTTATTTTTTTGGCATTTAAATGGAAAAGGTGAGTTCACAATTAAAACATTTTTTACAGTGCTAATGTCCTTGCTCTTAAAAATCCAGCTACACTCTGGCACAAGAAGCGACACACGATTCTCCCTTGCGGGTTTCTGTGCCAGAGACCCACGCCTGGCT